ATTCTTTTAATTGATTTATGTTCAAGTTTTAAGTGTTCCCATTTAGTTAGTATTACATATTGTTTTTGCATGGCATCTTTGAAAGAAAAGTGGTAGAATGATAAGTATTCTTATTTTTGTGACCCTTGTCCATATTGTAAAGGATCCCACTTGTGACAATAGTGTAAAATATTTTTGGGAGCGAGTTGTGTGCACCATCTCAATCTTGTACTATTTGTGGTAGCTATTGAAATAATTGTCCTAAGTGTTGCTATCCTACTCCAACCCCTTCTTGTGATAGTTCTGATAATGCTTGTGAGTTTGAGAGCAGTAATGAAGTGGATGATACGGAACATGATGTTTCCCTTCTGAATATGCACATGCAATTATTGGAGTAATATTGAGGTCTTTGTGAGAACATTACACATGATATGAGACACGTTATAGAAGGAAAAGTTGAACTTAGACAAAAGATCGACCAATTTAGCAGTTCTATTTATGACTTGGAGGCTCAATTGCGTGCAAAGGTTGTTGCGTCTAACGCCCAACAAAATTGTTCTGAGTTGTTTGAAACTAAAAAAGACCTTATACGCCAAATTTAGGAGCTAAAAGTGGAGAGCCAATCATTCGACCATATTTTTGTTAATGATGCCAATGTTGAACAAAGTACACTAGAGTCATATGAGGAAAGACATAATGTTATATTTGAAGACTCTAGTGTGTGTACATATGTTAAGTTGTAATATAATTCTAGAGTTGGGGCGTATTGATCCTTATTCCATACATTTTTCGACATTGTGTTTGGATGATGATATGAAAAACGAGTCATCTGATCCTTTGGAGGAGCCAATGGATGAGGAACAAAGTGCTTACATTCTTGAATTCGTCGTTCAAGAGAGACAAAATTACATACCTCATCTGAAGGCCAAGAAGTGTAGAATACAAAATTGGTTAATTGACCCAATAAGATTTGTCCCACCATGCTGGGAGAATAGCAAAAAGCTTGAAGCCAAATTAGGGGTACAATTCATAAGTTTGAGGTGGAGGCGAAAAGAGGTTCGCGTCAATTGCGACATTAAATCAGGCGCTTGTTGGCAGGCAATCCAGTTTTACTTCTTTCTATTAGTTATATATATATATATATATATATATATATATATATTGTATTGTTTGTTTTTATTTTGTTGTATTACAAGCATGGGAATCATAGTCATTGGAAGTGTGCAAAAGCGAGCTAGATGGTTGGAACTAAATATGGGGTGTCCACACACGACCATGCCTGGGAGAAGTCTGAGTACCCCATGAGCTGTTATTGCTTCGGCCTTTGGCTTTTCAAGGAGTTTTTTATTCCACCCACACTATTTTTGGCTTTGATTAAGCATTGAGGACACTGCATGATTTAAGCGTGGGGCAGGGGATTCTATGTGATTTGTACATTATTCTATTATTCTCATATAGCTTATTATTTTTATCTTTTGTAGTTCCTTACCCATATTATAGATTAAATTCTTATTTTATATTTTAGCATTGGTTAATTAGATAAAAAAAATACTAAAGTAGTACTTTAATAGTAGTTTAATTTGAAAAAGAAAAGAAAAAAATGAAAATATAGAAAATCAGAAAAAAAAATTAGAAAAATATTGGACTTTTCCTGACGATGGATCTCCTAGACAGTTTTCTTGAGCATTTAAAGTCTAAATAAAAATACACAAAAAATTAAAAAAATTAAAAAATCCAAAAATATGTCTTCTAGTGTTTTAGGTTGTAATAATCTCCCGTAGTTTTTCTTTGTGCCTCGGTTCTTTTTTATGGGATGTAGTTTGAACCGGGTAATATTTTTTTCTTTAAGAGTCGATTAAGATGTCACACCCCAGCCTTGGGGGGTGCGACCGGCACATGGAGCTTGAAGGCCCGTGTGAACCCACGTCCATCCTTACATCCTCCTAATCATAAAACCTGGGCCAACGGGGCCTCCAAGTAGTAATACTGGAAATTTAAAGTGTAGATAACTGATTGTGGAAGAAACATTAGCATTTTATACATAACCACCACCGTTACCAAGAAGGTCCTAACCAACCATTACGTACAACCGAACATTAACACTAGTATGCAAGCCTCTAAGAGTATCAAAAGAACTTTACATTTACACAACTTTGTCGGGACAGGGTCCCACCGTACCAAAATGATTAGAACACATATACTTCAGTACCTATCGACTTTTGAACAACTACTCTTGAGAAGTGGAGTGCAGCGACTAACAACTGGGACAAACATCCTACTGGGGAGAGACGTCACCGAGCCTATCTGCACCTGTTCGCATGAGCATAACGCCAAAAAAGAAAAAGGGGTGTCAATAAGGAAAATGTACTGAGTATGTCAGACTAAAATTATATGAATACAGGCTTTCAAGCTGTATACCGAAGAAAAGCAACCGGGGGCATAAACTGTGGAAACCATAAAAGTTAGAAGTATGCATTCTTTATAAAAGGTTAAGCCACTCCTGGAGATTATGCATTAGATATAATAAAATATCACTCAACCACTCTTTGGGGTATATCATTCATATCGTACCCGACCTCGTAGAGGACTTGCTAAAGTTTATATTATTATCAAATCATATCCGACCTCAAGGAATCTCGGTTGTATCCGATCTAAACAAACTCGGCATACCCTGTCGCAAAAGGACTCGATCGTACCCGGCCACACAAGGGCTTGATAATCTTTTATATCACATTACTCCATACCCGGCTTCATAGAGGACTCGGTCGTACTCGGCCACACAAGGGATCAGTAGCATTTCACATTGTAACTCATCATACCCAACTGATTAGTGGTTGCACAATAAGTGCCATACCCGACCGTTTATAGTGTGGCTCAGTAAAGTAAAATAGGTACATATACATATAAGTGCAATGCAAGATCAATTTCAAGAGATATTAAGTCTAAACGCAGAATGAATCATACTTTCCGACCCCATGATACCAGTTGGGGATATTTTAGACTCTGGGAGGAATGCAACCGGCAAAAATGTACATGAACCGGAACAACGTCATAGAGAGGGACTCAGAACAACCAAATCCTTACAATATAGGAATCCTTTAGAGGGGGAGAGACAGACTTACACAAAATCATGCCAAGAAAGGAAGTTGCCTTACATACCTTGTTGATGAACTAGCTACACATTTATTATTGTTACTCTGCCTCCAATGAATCTCCAGTATCAATATAACGAGCTGATAGATATTCTAGTGATAATTCCAAGCTCCTTCACGCTAGATCCTACTTGATTCAGTTTCAATTACCTTAGACTATTTTTGGAATTCTAAATGTGTTTTGAGAGAATTTTAGAAAAACTAATGTTGGTGATATCCTCTAGAATGAGTGAGAAAGAGCTACACTGGCCTTTATATATCATAATAAATCTAGGCAATTTCGTCGCTGCTACATGCAAAACGGGTCGCCCCACCTCGGTTGCAACACCCGGTAAGACATCTGGCACTATCCCAAGGAAATATGTAATCTCCCTTTTTACCCCTCTATCCCCATACATGTCACTCGTTGGTTGGTCGCATCAGGAACCCCACTTATTAATCTTTATTTTATGCATTGGAGAAAAGTGTGGGCTGTAATATCATCCCCCCACCCCCCCGAAACATTCGTTCTCAAATGTTGAATTCTAGTCACTTTTTACAAACTTCTTTTGTCTCTTTGGGTTATGCCCATCATGGTAGTCTCATCGTTTCCTTCTGTTATATGGAACAAATGGGGGTACCCGGATTTCATATCTTACTCTACTTCCCAAGTTATTTATTCTATGTTATGGTTTCTCCAAAGTAGTATAAATGAAGCTACCTCTTTGGTTCGCAAGTTACAAACTTGACGATATAGGATAGCCACTAGAAATTCTTCGTAAGATAGGTCCTCCATAATCTGAATATCTTCAATGGGGGTAATGCAAGATGAATCACTTAAGCACTTATGGATCATGGACACGTGGACTACCAGATGCACTGCATCCAATTCTGGGGGCAATTCAATATTATAAACCACTTCACCAATTCTCTGAATAATTAGATATGGTCCAACATACCGTGGACTGAGTTTGACTCTCTTACCGAACCTCACATGCCTTTCATAGGCAACACCCTTAAGAATCCTCAATCTCCTACAACAAACTCCAAATCTCGTCGTCGGGTATCTGAGTAAGATTTCTGCCTACTTTAAGCGGTCAATAAATGACCTCGAATTATTTTTACCTTTTCTACAGCCTGTTGCACCAATTCAGGACCACCCAATAACTTTGTTTTACCAACTTCGAACCAGTCGACGGGAGATCTACACTTTCGTCTGTATAGGGCCTCATAAGATGCCATCCGAATACTAGCATGGTAGTTGTTGTTGTAAGTGAATTATAAGAGTGGTAGATGATCCTCCCAACTTCCTTTGAAGTTCAAAACGTTGTCTCATAACATGTCCTCGAGCGTCTGAATAGTGCATTCGACCTGAATGTCTGTTTGTGGATGGAAAGTTATGCTAAGGTTGATCCTGGTACCCAATCCCTTTTGAAATGATCTCTAGAAGATAGCCGTAAACTTGGCACATCTGTCTGATATAGTGGAAACCGGAACCCCATGGAGTTGAACTATCTCCTTACTGTATATCTTAGCATAATCTTCTGCTGAGAAAGTAGTTTTAACTGGTAGGAAATAAGCTGACTTGGTGAGTCAATCCATGATGACCCATATCGAATCAAATCTTCGGTGTGATCGCGATAATCCGGTGCCAAAATCCATGTTGATCATCTCCCATTTCCAGGACGGTATCTCCCTATCCTTAAGCAATCCTCCTAGTTTCCGGTGTTCAACTATAACTTGTTGGCACTTTGGACACTGAGCGATGTATTCAGCAATGTTCCCCTTCATGTCATTCCACAAGTATGGCTATCAATGATCGTGATAAATCTTGATCGACCCTGAATGAATAGAATACAGGGACTGATGAATCTCCACCATTATCTGCTCTCAGAATCCTTCGACATCAGGCACACACAACCAGTCTTTGTATCTAAGGACCCTGTCCTCGGATAACTTGAACAATTGCTTCTTTTGAAAGGGAATGCTTTCTCTTATCTTCACCAGGGCTGGATCATCAAGTTGTCGTGTTTTTACTTCGGCTACTACCAAGGTTTCGACAGTGTTTTGAACTATGGATCCTCCGCTACCGATGCCAAGCAATCATGTACTTAAATTAGCCAATCAATACAAGTCTTTAGTCATTTCTAAATTATAATATTCTGCATATCGTAGGCTACCCATAGATTTTTGACTTAGTGCGCTAGCCACAATATTTGCCCTCCCGGGGTGGTATAGAATATCAACATCATAATTTTTTAACAATTCAAGCCATTTTCGCTGTCTCAAATTCAACTCTTTTTAATTGAATATATACTGCAGGCTCTTGTGATCGCTGAATATGTCAACATGAACTCTATACAGATAGTGACGCCGTAATTTAAAGGCAAATATAACAGCTGCTAGCTCTAAGTCATGAGTGGGGTAATTATTCTCGTATTTCCTTAGTTGCCTCGAAGCATAAGCAACAACTTTCCCATGGTGCATTAGAACACTGCCCAACCCACTTTAGAGGCACCACAATTTATAACGTACCCCTCGGGTCCCTTAGGAAGCGCTAGAACTGGTGTCGAGGTTAGCTTGTCCTTTAACTCTTGGAACCTCTTTTCACAAGTGTCGGTCCACTGAAATTTAGCTTCCTTGTACATCAACTTTGTTAGTGGAGTAACTATAGATGAGAAATTCTCCACAAATCTTTGGTAGTAAATGGCTAAGCCCAAGAAGTCGCCTACCTCAGCAGGAGATGTGGACATTTCCCAATTCTTAACTGCTTCAACCTTTTGACTATCAACTCTGATACCCTCATTTGATAATATATGCCCAAGAAACGCCACCGAGTTCAGCCAGAACTCGCACTTTGAAAACTTGGCGTACAACTTGTGATCCTGAAGTGAGTGTAAGACCTTTCGCAAATGCTCTACTTCTGATCAAGAATACACCAAAATATCATCTATGAAAATAATCACAAATATATCCAAAATGGCATGAACGCTCGGTTCATCATATCCATAAAAGTCACTGGTGCATTGGTTAGGCCAAAAGACATAATGAGAAATTTGTAATGGCCATATCTGGTCCGAAGGGCTGTCTTTGGAATATCTTTTTCCTTGATTCTTAACTGATGATACACAGATCTGAGAATGATCTTCGAAAAATACTCAGTGCCTTACAATTGGTCAAATAAATCATCGATTATCGGGAGCGGATACTTGTTCTTAATGGTCATCTTATTCATCTGACGATAATCAATGCATGTCCTAAACGAACCATCTTTCTTTCGATCAAATAGTACTGAGGATCCCCACGGAGAAGTACTGGGTCGGATAAAGCCCTTATTAATAAGGTCCTTCAACTAATCCCTTAGTTCCTTTAACTCGACAGGAGCCATCCTTTACAGAGGAATATATATCAGTTGCACATCTGGTGGCACATCGATGTCGAACTCGATCTCTCTCTCTCGACTGGAATACTCGGGAGCTTGTCAGGGAACACATCGGGAAATTCACTAACAACCGAAACTAATTGAAGGGTTGAAGACGTCGCCTCCGCATCCTGCACCCGCACCAAATGATAGAAACATCCTTTCAAAATCATCTTACGGACCTTAAGCTAAGAAATAAACAACCCTTTCGGTGCTGCAACATCACCCTTCCAATTGTCTTCCAATAATCCACCGTAGCATAACAAGAGGCTAGCCAATCAATGGCCATAATAACATTAAATTCTATCATTTTTAAATTCATTCAAATCAACCAAGGTATGATAATTATGAATCTTCACATCATAACCTTGATATACCCCGCCTATCTACCACAGACTCGCCTATGGGCGTGGACACGTCAAACGGTTGTCGTAACAATTCATGTTCTTTACCACATTTACCAGCAACCTATGTGGAAATATATGACAAGTGATGACTCTAGGTTCTGTCGTGCTGACAATGCATAGATGCAATTCTGTTGTTGTCCACCCGAGCTGGACATTCTACCTCTACCTCTAACTCTCCCTACCGATGATTGTATACCTTGCTAATGAGGGTGTGCTGGTGATGAAGAAGCTTCTACAGATTCTGTTGGCGGCATCATGTTTCCCACATTTCTCACTAGGAAAAAGCACATGATATGACTGGGCTGCTTACAAGAATAACACAAATCTGAACCTTAGCGTCAATGCCCAAAATAATTCCTACCACATCAGCCACAATGCGGAACTGGGGGCCTTATCTTACTGGGGTATCCAACATATTGTGAGCTTTATCCTCGGGAATTCGGACCTTGACTAGCGTAGGTGATTCGATCATGACGCAGTCCCTAGAACTTTGTCGTCGCACTAGCCACCGTATGAGATGGAAGCTGAGGAAACGGAGGTCTAACCTCACCTCGTGATTCTCCCATATCACCTATAGACTGGGCTCTCTTATGTTGGCCCCGATCATGCTCCTGAGCAGCTAGTTGTTGCCTTTTTCGATTCACCAAGCTCTGCGTATAAGCTTGAATATGAGAAATATCCATAATCGTATTCAAAGAAGTTGTGGTACATTCACTCAATAGATGTGGTCCAGAATCGCCCACAAATTAGTGTACTTGGTCACTCATCACAACCACAACTGATGGAGCATATCTAGCCAAGGAGTTAAATTGCATAATGTACTCCTGGACACTCATATTACCTTGCTCCAACCGTAAAAATCTATCTTGTCTTGCTCGACGGATCTCAACGGGAAAATACTACTGCAAGAATGCCTCAGAAAATTCCCTTCATTCTACTGCTGGGCCGAGATATCCCCTAGACTATTCCCAAGTCTCATAGCAAGTCACAACAATATCCCACAACCTATAAGAAGCAATCTCTACGGACTCAGTATCAGTGGCATGTATAACTCCTAAAGCCTGCTGCATTTGATCTAGAACATTCTAGGGATCTTCATTTGGATCTGTTCCTGTGAATACCGGGAGGGGGGGTCCAAATTTATGAAATTCTAAATTCTCGTACTAGCTACTCTATCTGAGGTGACAGGGGCCTGGTGTTGGGCATGAGAGGCCAATAATCGTGTCAACAACTACACTGCACTTCTCATATCTAAATCCTGTTCAGAAATAACTGGAGGATGAACAAAAGGTACATTGGTTTCTCTATGATGTTCCGGGGGTAGTGGTGTTGTCCCCAAAACCTGAGTACCAGCCTTATCGTGTGGTCCATTGTCACGACCCTAATTTTCCTCCATAGGATATCGTGATGGCACCTAGTCTATAAAACTAGGTTAGCCTAACACTTACTGAATTAATGAAAAAATTCAACCGACAACTATTAAATATGAAACAAAATTTTCTATAGGAAGCCAACAATCCCAAAACCGATAGTACAAGTCACAAGCTCTACTAAATTCACTAAAGAAAATCTCTAATTACAACAATTTCGGAATAGAATTAAACTGTACAAAAATAACTTCCGAAGGTGACTCCGAGACCTGCAAACACGACGACAGGTATACCTTGAAGTCTCCACAGCAATATCTGGTCCGCTATCTAACAATCAACAAACTCTGAAGTACCTGGATCTGCACAAAAATATGCAGAAGTATAGTATGAGTACACTACGATCGGTACCCAGTAAGTATCAAGACTAACCTCGGTGGAGTAGTGACGAGGTACAAGTCAAGACACTCACTAGACAAAGTAACTTGCGCAATATAGTAAGTATAAAGCTAATAATGGAAAGCAGAAATCAGTAAATGGCAACAAGAACCAACAAGTGATATAAACAGTAAAACAATAAGAACACCGTGAAGTATCATTAAAACCAAATAAGGAACACAAAGGACAACTAATTAATCAAGTCGTTCTAACACAGGTTTCACAACGAACATCTCATAGTCACAAGTCAGGAGTCTCAACCCACCATCATATACTCACGGTACCTCGTGCCCACATCTCGAATCTCAACCGTCCGGCATGGTCACAGGCTCACAATCACAATCCGTCCGGCATGGTCACAGGCTCACAATCACAATCTGCTCGGCATGGTCATAGGCTCAATATCAACATGGATACAGATAATACAAGAACACGTGGGCATGATCAATAAATGTCAAGTTTCAAATTTCTGAGCTAGTACAAGTGGCATGCTATGGTGTAGGCTTGTGCGAGTGTACTACAGCAGCCCAAGTCAACAAGTAGTATCAAAGACCTCGAGTAACTCATAAAATAAATAAACAATTCACATAAGGTGTATGACCAACACAAGGAAAAACACACCATCATATGAAAATCACCAACACAATGTCCCTAAACCATCACACATTATCCCTGACATTGCCTCCCTTATCTCTCTGATAGCCACCCGTATCACTCCGTGTAATAGACATCCTTATCACTCTGCCCTGACAATAATATTTGCCACCCTTATCTCTCCGATAACCACAGGTATCACTCAGTGTAATAGCTACCCTTATCACTCCGCCATGACAATGACATTTGCCACCCTTATCCCTCGGATAGCCACCTGTATCACTCCTTATAGTAGCCACCCTTATCGCTCAACCTGGACAATAATACAATAGCCACCTGTATCACTCAGTACATTCAACAACAGTGAGATGCCACCCTTATGCCCCGCAAAACAAAAATGGTGAAATGACACACTTATACTCCACATGATAACAACGAAACCATACAACAATTCACATGTGCTATCATCACAACAACACAACATATCAACTAGTATCACAAGTGCCCATAGGCCACAACGTTTCCAAATATTCAACGATATCAATATTTTCACAACAAAGAGCCCACGGGTCAATACAACGTATATAGAATCTCAATAACAACAACAGAGCGGAAAAGTAACTCAACAAGGAAAAACACCCCCCCCCCCCCAA